ACGCTAAATATGCGCTGTTACACCGAATGTGTCGTTAGAATGTGAATTTTGTCACATTTCCTTGAATGTTTGTCCATATAACAACGAATGCGACACCATAATTGAATGGCTGTGTCGCGTTCAACCGAATGTGACATCCAATTCAAACAACGAGACAAAATTGAAATTCGAACAAATATGACGTTCCATTCTTTGAAAAGCAGCACGTGCAGCCAAGCCTCAAGGTGCCGAAAGCCCCGCTTCTGAAAGGCGGTCTCCAGTTTCAGTCGCTGCTCTCGTGCATCGACAAGCATCAGGACAACCGGTACGACCTCCTAGGGATCTCCTGCTTCGACGAGAGCACCGTCACAACGGTGAGCTTCCGTACACAGTCTTTCCGCTGAAATGTCGTGGCGGACTCAACGCATTCTGTCCTGCAAGAATCTGTGATAAGCCAGGAGGGTCCCTTGTTCGGAGACTATTCCATTGAGAAGGCAGTGGCACTTTGTGCATGGATTTTCAATTATTTCGAGCTTTCTGTTTGGACCTCAAAGAAAAAGATTGGCTTGGCATAAATGCTGGAGACAAACGGCGGTAACCGTGTTAAAAACAAACTTTCTACACCATTTTTTATAAATTGTAAAAAATGTTGTTTTAGCCTCAAATGAGGGATTAATATGAAATGCGTAAAAAAGGTCTGCAAAATTATGCATGTCGTCACTGCGCGCTCGATTTCAGCCAAACTTTTTAACATTTTTGCAATCGGTAAAGTGCATCTGAAAGTGGACAACATTTCCCACAAAATGAAATACGGGGATTCAAATCAGAGGAAAAAAGCTGCTAGAAAAATGTTGTTTTTACAAATTTTTCTACCGCATAAGTTTTTCTTTTCCCGTAATAAAAATCTTGTAATATTTTCATCCGATATTAACCCTAGTGGTTCATTTTCAAAAATTTAAGTTCAAAATTTTGGGTGTTCATCGGAAAACAGTCCAAAACCCAGAAATTGCGAAATTTCGAAGAATTTCGCCTGTTTTTCTGACCATAAAATTATGTTCGAGGCCGTACACCGGGCGTCCAAACGCTATGAATATAGCGTCAACAAGTGCAATCGAGGAAAAGAGTCAAGGAACCAGCCGCTAAATCGCTGGCCTATGCGTAAACAACGTATTATGTCATCCCAAAAACTAAAAAAAATGTCCCAAGTCACCCCGCTGTGGTACCCCTTCAGCTCAAACCAAAGTTGGCTCTCACCAAGAACGGTCTCTGTTCTGCAGGTGCTGTCGAGTGTTTTCCTGTACGCGTTCACCTGCTTCATCACGCAGGGCTTCGAGAGAAGGAAAATAAACAATTGAAGTGGAGGCGAACAGAATGGCGGTATTGTGTTCGCTCAGTGTGCACCAAGAATCCAAAGGGCGCGAGTGCACTTTTAGAAATAGTGTTGTAATTTGGCAGTAAATATATATGTTGCTAATTTTCTGACTGGCCAGAAGTTGTTAACAGATGACTGAAGTCGTTTACTGGTGACTGACGTTGTTGTGATAAATTTTTCGTCTCCAGAAGTTGTTTCACCCATCTGGGGGGCGATGGTGCTGACACATTCATTTTCAGTGCATAAACCAACGCCTATTATTGTCCTAAGACCAAATACGTGGTGCCGCAATCTATATAGCCTTGAATGAGCACGTGCCTTTTCTCTCTGTTCTTCAATCTTTTGTTAGAGTTTCGTTTCACACTGTCGCGCGACCACAACTCTTTAGAGGTGGGCTGGGCTGAAGTTTGATCGATCGACTCAAGATCTATTTGACACACGCGATAAGGCATGTAAAAGTGTCCCATGAAAAGTAGCGGCCCCAGAGTCCAGACCATACCAAGATGGCCGGCCCTCGGCCCTCTTAGACTGACGTGTTTGGCGCTGCTCGCCGTGGCACTACTGCTAGTCCCCGTTTGAGACGCTATGTCTAAATATTTTAGTGGCGACTGGGGCCAATAAATGTTTTAGCTCTGGCGTCTAAAGTTTTAGTCTCTGGCGCTAAACATTTCTCTCTGTGTGCTTCCGTTAGGCCGCTTCCATACTGAGAATGAAAAAGTCACTAGTGGTGGCTCACCACCATTGTCCTTTGATTGGGTGACACACGCTCAACTTTGGGTGACGAGCCAGCGGGGACTAAATTTTGGGCAGTAAAAAAGTTCCGCCAAGGCAAGCTTAGCAAAGCGGTGTTGCCGTGGCCCGCCCGCCTGCTGCGCCAAATGTCCATTTTATCGGTTTCTGCTTTTTACCGCCACCGGCGTGTTTGAATGGTGTTGTTTACGTTGGAAACGCCGTACGCGGGCTTCAAGCTCTGACTTCAACTCTAACGACCGTCGAGCAGGAAGGAGTGAGGAAAACACGCCTGCAGCAAGCCAGCCGTGCATACCAATAGACTGATTCCGAGAGTTCGTTCTCACCTCTCTCTCTCTCTCTCTCTCTCTCTCTCTCTCTCTCTCTCTCTCTCTCTCTCTCTCTCTCTCTCTCTCTCTCTCTCTCTCTCGCACTTTTCGGGCGTACCGCCTTGCAGGAAATAACCACAACAAAAGTACACAAATTTCTGGCAAATTTTTTATTAGGAATTTAGTGTACTTTTCAAGTACAACAATTGTTGTACAAAGTACAATGGAACCGGCATGACGAGCGCTGTGCAGTCCAGGGTTTGTACAATTCTCGTTGTACTTTCTACAATCCCTGTTGTACTTTTATTTACAGTTTTTGTTGTACTTTTGTTGTACTATCCACACTTTTTCTTGCAGTGCGTGAACGAGCTAGAGAGACGGAAGCGAGAAAAACGACTCCCTGAATCGGTCTGCACTCTGCAGCGGCAGGCCGAAGGCAGCCGAAAGCGAGTGGCAGCCAGTGGCAGCAGTGGCGGATCCAGACCCGGCCCGAGGGAAGGGCGAAGTGGCAGCCAGTGGCAGCAGTGGCGGATCCAGACCCGGCCCGAGGGAAGGGCGAAGTGGCAGCCAGTGGCAGGCGAGATGGCGCGACCGTGTGCAGCAATGCGCCCGAGGGAAGGGCGAAGTGGCAGCCAGTGGCAGCAGTGGCGGATCCAGACCCGGCCGAGGGAAGGGCGAAGTGGCAGCCAGTGGCAGCAGTGGCGGATCCAGACCCGGCCCGAGAGGAAGGGACGAAGTCTCGAATGACAGCCAGTGGCAGCAGTGGCGGATCCAGACCCGGCCCGAGGGAAGGGCGAAGTGGCAGCCAGTGGCAGCAGTGGCGGATCCAGACCCGGCCCGAGGGAAGGGCGAAGTGGCAGCCAGTGGCAGCAGTGGCGGATCCAGGGCCGGCCCGAGGGAAGGGCGAAGTGGCAGCCAGTGGCAGCAGTGGCGGATCCAGACCCGGCCCGAGGGAAGGGCGAAGTGGCAGCCAGTGGCAGCAGTGGCGGATCCAGGGCCGGCCCGAGGGAAGGGCGAAGTGGCAGCCAGTGGCAGCAGTGGCGGATCCAGGGCCGGCCCGAGGGAAGGGCGAAGTAGCGCTTTTCGGGGGTTCAGGTTCGCACCGGTGCGTTCTTTCTGCTCATTCTGCTCGCTCGTCGCTCTGTCTCTCTCGCACTCATGGGGCGCTGCTGACCGTGCGGCCTACGGCCAGGCGGACGGCAGAGAAGAGACGCGAGCGTGTGCAGAATGCGCCGCGACAGGCCGAAGAAGGGCCACGGGCACGCCATGGGCACGCAGAGGGGCTGGACTCTGCAGAGCAGACTGATTCCGAGAGTCGCTTTCGTCGTCGTCTCTCTCACGCCACATGAGTGCGAGAGAGACAGAGCGACGAAAACGACTCTCGGAATGAACAGTCTGCTGGAAGTCACGTCGCGAGCGACCCACGGCGCGAGAGAGACACACACGCACCAAAATAAAGGGCTACCTGGGCGGCGGCCGCGCCCTCCTCGGCGTGGCACTGCTTCGCGCCACGCGCCGCGCGCTACGCGCAAGGGACAGCGGGGCTCGGGAATGCGTCTCGCGGGCTGTTTCTATTTCTGCGTAGTTTGCTGGGTTGGCCCGCCATAGGCCAGCAACAGGCACTTCGCCCGTGCTTCGCCTGGCTTCACCTGGCTTCGCCCCCTGGACCGCGTTAGCGATTCAGAAGAGTGGTTTGTCGCTCTGTCTCCCTCGCACCCCTATGAAGAGCCCCTTGAGTGCGACAGAGACAGCAGGAGACAGCCTGACGAAACTACTCTTAGGCGGCCGTCTGATTCCGAACACTGCTTCGTCACTCTGTCTCTCTCGCACCCCCACGGACCGCCCCATGAGCCCATGAGTGCGAGAGAGACAGGGCGACGAAAGCAGTGCTCGGAATCAGACGGCAGGCAAGCGTGTGGCTGGCCGGCAGGCTGCAGGTGCCTGCACTCTCATTCCAGAAACGCGACGAAAGTGAAACGAACGTGACAAAATGTCACGTTCCTTTGGGCATTGTGTCACGTTCGTTTGAATGTGAACAACCTGATTTTTGGCCAATCCACACCCAAACGAACGTGACACAATGCTCAAACGCACGTGACATTTTGTCACGTTCGTTTCAACGTGATGTCACGTTCCTGGAATGAGAGCGTGTTCCAGCGCGAGGACTCGTTACTGACTACGTCGCTTTTCGTCTCCCTCGCGCCCACAAGCGGCCCCTCTCGCGTCCATGGGTGCGGGAGACAGAGCGATTGAAGCACTGTTCGGAAGGGTTCGGAAACAGACTACTGCAGACTGATCCCAAAAGTAGTTTTCGTCGCTGTGTGCGAGAGACAAAAACGACTCTCGGGATTATACTCTGGCCAGAAAACGAAGAGCCCTGGGGTCTTGCGGTCGAGGGCTACCTGCAGTGCTAGCCAAGGCGGCCGATGCCATAAACCGCGAGAACTCAGGGCTCTTCGTTTTCTGGTCAGGGAGTAAGATAGACTGCTGGACACTGGCAGGCCCAACACATCGGCGCTGCCAGAACTTCGGGTCGCACAGCGACACCGTCGCCGACGGTCGCCCAACACGTCGAGGACAAACTGCTCTACCTGTACACGGTGTTGTTGGGGGTGCCGCGTTGGGACGCCGCGTTGGCCATGTCGAGTCGCGAGCCAGACGAGCCTCACGACGACAACGGCCACCTCGGTGCTCGCTCACGCCGCGCGCCGCTCGACGACGCGGAGGGACCACCGGGACTAGCGGGGGTGGCACTCGCAGTGCGGCGGTTCAACCCCGACTCGACTCGGCGACTCGGCCTGCTGCTTGTTGTTGCCGTTGCCGTGCGTTGCCGTGCGCGACACGCGTTCACGCCCAAGTCCCGCACGCCACTGCGACTGCACGCCGCGCCGCCTCACGCCGCCTCGCCCATAGAGCAAGTCTCTCTCTCCCCTTCTCTCTCTCTCTCTCTCTCTCTCTCTCTCTCTCTCTCGCCGCACGTGTGGCCGTGCCGCCGTGCCCCCGCCCCCACCCCTCCGGCTCCCACTCGCCCGGTCGCCGGTCCCCGCTCGCGGTTCGGCCCACGACTAGCACGACTAGCTAGACCAGCTGACTGAGGACCGAGCGCCGGGCGCCGAACACGCGTTCCCAAATAAATGTTGAAGCGGCCAACGCGGCGCCAAGGCGGGGCGGCGCTAGCTCAGGTCGCCGGCCAAGCAGACCGGGCCGCCGGGCCGCCCCCCTCACAGTGGGCCAGAAGACCGGTGGAGCGGCCAAAACTCTAGACGCGTTTTGAGCTCCAGAGTCGCTAAATGTGACTCAAACCAAACGTGTCACACCACCAATGGATTGCTCTCCGAACGAAGAATCCGTTGGACGGGTCACACTTTTGGTTCGAGTTCCATGTAGCGACTCTGGAGCTCAAAACGCGTCTAGAGTTTTGACCGCTCCACCGGTCTTCTGGCCCACTGTGCCCCTAGGGGTGCGAGAGAGACAGAGCGACGAAACTGCTCTTCGTAATCGCTCTGTAGTCGCCTCTTTCCGAAGGGTCGTTTCGTCGCGCTGTCTCGCTCGCGCCTCAACGGGACGCCTCAGGAATGCGAGAGAGACAGGGCGACGGGAGGGTCCTTTGGAAAGGCGGCTGGCTCTGGTGGCCGTGACCTCGGCCCTCAACCAGCAGACTGAGAGTCGTTTTTCGACGGTCTGTCTCTCCTTCTCCTGCACTCATGGGGCGTCACGTATGGGCGCGAGAGAGACAGGGCGACGGGAGGGTCCTTTGGAAAGGCGGCTGGCTCTGGTGGCAGTGACCTCGGCCCTCAACCAGCAGACTGATTCCGAGAGTCGTTTTTCGACGGTCTGTCTCTCCTTCTCCTGCACTCATGGGGCGTCACGTATGGGCGCGAGAGAGACAGAGCGACGAAAACGACTCTCGGAATCAGCCTGCAGCACCGCCCCGACAGCGGCCGCCACCTCAGCCACCGACAAAGTTTGCGAGTTAGTTAGGGGGTTGAATTTCCCGGCTTCCAGCTAGCAAGCTAATCCCCCCCCTCATCAAATCCTGGGATTGCCGATTGCTGTCTGTAGCGCCTGCGAGGTAGGCCACCGGCCCGTCCCACAACACACCGCTGTGGAGACGGTGGCCTACCTCGCCCCTTGCAGCGTAGCGCCTGCGAGGTAGGCCACCGGCCCGTCCCACTACACACCGCTGTGTAGACGGTGGCCTACCTCGCAGGCGCTACGCTGCAAGGGGCGAGGTAGGCCACCGTCTCCACAGCGGTGTGTTGTGGGACGGGCCGGTGGCCTACCTCGCAGGCGCTATTCTGCTGCATGCTCCGAAGGAGCACACGCAGGAGAGGCGGCTGCCGAACGTACATGGGAAAATAGAGAATTTGTAGGGGTTATCCGGCCACAATGATGGTGACAATTTCGGTTACTTTACAGTGCAGTGACCACCTAAACTTGGCCGAACAGCTGAGGTGACCTCAGCCAGCCGGCTACACTTCTGTATATTTTTGTGCTGTGCAGGTTCAGTAATCGCCCCATCGTTGATCCAACGTTTATGGCTTGCGATAGCGACATATGGGAGGGGGGCGACAAATCCGATGCATGCCACAAATCTTAGGACAACCCAAGTTAATGTTTACCTGCCCATTACGCCACTTGTTATCCAGTTACAGGCCAGTAAGTAATTTTAACAAAACCCTATCTACGTGAGCTTGATGCTATAAGGCGGCCAGGTGACGCAGCAGTGCTTCCTTCTGTGTTGATTGTTGAGACGAATGGGCTGCCTCCTTCCTAGGCGCCAGCATAAGCGGGAGTGGCACAGTGGGCCAGAAGCCGGCGGGGGCGGCCAAAACTCTCGACGCGTTTTGAGCTCCAGAGTCGCTAAATGGCACTCGGACCGAACGTGTGACCCCACCAATGGATTCCTCGTTCGGAGAGCAATCCAATGATGGGGTCACACGTTCGTTTCGAGGCCTGTTTAGCGACTCTGGAGCTCAAAACGCGTCTAGAGTTTTGGCCACCTCCACCGGTCTTCTGGCCCACTGTGAGTGGTCTGCGCGACCTACTCAGCCCTTCAAGTCGCTCGCCTTTCCAGCTAATCCACACCCCTGCCTCTCCCAATGGTCCTTACGACGTCTTTCCTATTCATTCCTGCTTTCAATTGTCTCCAACCACCGGGCCTTTCAAACGAGCGGCGCCATCAAGTCCCGTGTCGCCATGGCAACCGCAGTCGTTTTTGTCGCTCTGTCTCTCTCGCACCCACACGGGATGCCCCATGAGTGCGAGAGAGCGAGAGAGCGACGAAAACGACTCTCGAAATCGGTCTGCAGGCTCGTCGCACCGGCATGTCTGTTCTGCGGCGTTGAAAACCTTTTTCGTGCCGAGCAGGAATGGCTTTGACTGGCTGAAAAGTGTCTTCCCTAGAAGTCACAGCGCCGCCACTTACCCTCGTTTGGTGCTTCCCTGGACGCTCCGAAAGAAGAAGCAGAAGCAGTGAGCCCCGGTTTATCTTGATGCGCTCACTGCATCCCAAAGAGAACCTGTTTCCAGACACTCCATTTTTGAACTGTCTACAATGGCTGTGTTTGTTAAGGATTTTGTGTGGAGTCAGACAGGAGACCACATAGTGGTCAAAGTACCCCTCAGAGGGGTAACAAAAAGTATGGTGGACATATTAACTTATGACACCTACATAAAGGTACTTTCTTTTTTTTTCTAGCAGAAAAATATTGTTGAATTTTTATATTTTTTTTTTTTGCATGGGGGTGTCTTGTGAGAACTATGGACCTATCTTTTTTTCTCCACTTAAACTAATTTTATTTATTTGTTTTCAGGCAAATTTTAAGCCATTTATATTTGAGGCTTTTCTTCTACACCCTATAAGAGAAACATCCAGTAGGTGTACAGTTTCAAATGGTGAACTAGAATTCAGCCTTGAAAAGGTTGACAGGAATAATGTTTGGGAATCTTTATGTCGTGACTTAAGTAAGGAAGAAAAGGCCAAGGAACGAGAGGATGTATTACATAGGGTGCAATTGAAACGTCAGCAGGAGGAAATTGAGAAGCGAGGTAAGCACTTGAATTTTACAATTATATTTAGGTTTTACTCTATAATTGCAATAATAATGATTGATTTTTATTCTTAGAATTGTTGCAAAACCTTCAAAGGAAAGCTGTGCAGCAACAAATTGAAATGGAAACAAATGAAAAAAAGAAAGTGGATCATTTAAAAGATACGGAAAGGAACACAGTAATGGCTGATTTAGAAGCATGGAAAAATCAGAAAACGGAGACTGCACTGCCTGACCAACATCCCAGACAAGGTAATTCAACCTCCAGAATGGATTGGTTCAACAGAAAAACAAACCAGAATGAGGGGTGTAGACACATAAATGATCTATTTGCTGTTTATAGATGAAATCAAAATTAGAGATAATGATATATGGGACCAAAAGAGCTCTTCTAGCTCCGAAGATGAGCCCCAGGCTGATGGTGGTGTACAGTTAACAGAAGATGACCTTCGTCCGGTGCCTTTCCCTCGCTCATGTGGATCAATTAAAATTAAATTCACTCCACGGACATTTCCAACACCACAGAGAGAATCACAGATGGAGGAGGAACAAGCAGTGGGTATCTCTTTGTCTCAAATATTTAACTTTCTTCTCTTCTACTCATGATTTTAATAGTATACCTATTTTATAACAAATTGCAGTGGCTCAAAAAACAAGCAGCTGCACAGCGTTCTGTTGGATTTGTGGCTGAAGATTTGAGACCAGAAGAATGCAATCCTCAATGGCTAAAGGACAAGGGAGAGTAAGAAAAAAATTGAATTTGTTGGCGGGCTCCAGCATGACAATATTATAACTATATAAAATTGTGTTTCTGTCCATACAGCTCCTTTTTCAAAGTTGGAAATTATCTGGGAGCAATAAGTGCCTACAGCCATGGGATAAAACTCTGTAAGGACATGGCTAGTCTATATGTGAATCGTTCTGCAGCGCACTACGCTGTAGGAAATTTACAAAGGGTGATTGAAGACTGTTCTATGGTAACCTCCTCCTCCTTCTTTTCTGTAGTATAATAATGTACATTCCTATGCAAACAATTTTGTTTGAATTGCAGGCTCTTGAACTCATGACCCCCCACGTCCGGTTGAATGAGGATTCGCGGGCCAAGTGCCACGCGCGGAGGGGCGCTGCGCTCTGCCGGCTGCGCATGCTCAAGCCAGGGCTGGCTGACTTGCAAGCGGCTTTGGCCATAAAGCCAGGGGATACTAAACTTCAAAACGACATAGAACGTGTGAAAACGCTTTTAGAAAAATCTCCATGTGTTGACGATGACTTATCATCTATCGGTACTTTATGAATTTCTGAAAATAAGTAAATTGCAGATTCTTGTACTTACAATTGTTTTATTTCTGCACACTAAGAAGTCTACATCTGAATTACTATAACAAAGCATTCACATATAATATATATTATATTAATTTATATATCTCTTTAAGAACCACACATGAAATACATAGCAAGTGACTGGTGAACACAAACACATCATTCCAAGTTGGTATAAGTTACATTGACTAACATGAATTTCTTGTTCCTGACTTACAAAAAACAGCACAGCAGCTCCCAATCACAAGCCAAGTAGCATAACTAAATCCATGTACTTTTACTTAGACTTCATGCTTGGCTGCTCCGCCCTCATCACTAGTAGCACCCTAAATTTAGTCACTGTACGATGGCAATTTTGGCACGCTGTCCATTGAGAACACAAATGACAAGTAATACTTAAACAAGAAATCTACCCACAATATCTAGCTATAGCATCAGACAAATAATTTTTTAGTGCTTCCTGGTGTGGTATTCTTGCTTAATTCTGATTTTCATAGCAGTCTTAAACATTCAAATGTATGTGCAATTCAATACCTAGTATTTCCAGGAAAAGTCAGAGTTTAGTAAAACTTGACACTTCTTGGCGAGCAGCTCACCCACACAAATTTAAAAAGTCGAAGGAAAATTAATCACTGATTGTGCTAGAACAAACAATATGACAAGCTTAGGTGAGATCAAAAAATACACTAACATCAAATTGAATTTTACTTCCCAAGAGAAACGGTTCCTAGGAAACTACACAACTAGTACAAAATGCCACTTACAAAAAGCGTGCAGATTGTTTTACACAAAGATGGCAAATTAAACTGGAGCATGTGCGCGGTGGGGACAATAACGGAGGGAAGAAAAGGAAAATAAACTTGGCACTGAACTTTTTAAAAAACTAACAACAATAGTTAATAAAACAATTTAAATTCCTGCTTTTTAATTGTTTAAATAGAGAGAGGAAGAATGCATTTAGACAGCCTGGTAAGTAAAGTTTAACACCACAATTAAAAGGAGTGGTTATGCTTTACCACCAATACGAATCAGAAAGTGACTAGACCTACCCAGAGAGTGCAGGTGGCAAGATGTAGAAAGATGGCACAACTTTGTTTTGAATGGTAATGCATAAACTAGTGAAGAATACACCACCACCAATAAAACCACACCACTGAGAATTATAAAAGCTTTAGATTAGTTTGTGTCTTTAAAAGTTTTGTACTTCATGCTTCTTTGGTCAGTCAGAAAGAAAGTTGTAGTAAATGTGCAGACAAGAAATACCTCCACCAGAATAAAATTCCCCAAAGAGTACAAATATATTCTGAAGCTCACTCTCTATTATGAACATGCATCAGGCCTCAAAATATGAAAGGAGTAAATAGATAATTTTAACTTAGGTTTAACAAAAGAGGAAAGAAACAAAACACTAAGAAGCTAATGTAAAACTGTTGGAAGATCAGATAACTTCCAGAAGAATGAATGAAATGAATCAATCACATGAAAAACTAACAAATTAACAACAAATAAAATGATGAAAAATCAATAGCAAGGAACCAATAACTTGATTTACAGGTAAATTAGGCGTATCTTTGCATTAAAAATTGTTTCACTTAAAAATATGACAAGAATTTTGCACACAAATAAAAATTTAACAACAGATATGTAAAATGTTAACTCAACAATGGTAGCTTTTGTGCGACCACTCAAGGATGTGTATTTTATAGATGATGTCCTCCAAAGCATTGTCTATACACAATATCAGGGATAGATTGCAATGCAGCTTTTCAAGTTTTGAATAAGTAAATCAGGATTTGTCTAGAAAACACACACACTTGTAGAAAAGGAGGAAAAACATACCTACATACACATAATCACACAATCAGAATTCTCTGATGACTAAATTGTATCAGCTACAAATAAATATTCCATTCATAATGGATTGAAGATGGTGACACAGAAATGCATAGTACACTAAAAAACAAAATTTTAAAGTAATTGGTTGAATTTTCAAACACCCTACACACTAATTTTCGAACTATACTTCTTGGATAAGAATGGAATAATTATAATGTAATAGACTGGAGATGAACTAATTTACATCCATTCACTTAGTATGTCTTTTAGTTGAACAAGGCAAGAACATTGAGGACAATTAATTTCCATTATCACATTCACTGGCAAGTAAATTTTCAACACTCACAGAGCCATTCTGTTTTTCAATCTATCAATTGTCATGAAACTATTAGCCACAGCATGGCCACAGGGAAGGTGAAGATATGATCATAAGCACTACACTAAACACTAAAATTTTTGCTGCCATTGCCAGAACATAACATGAACTTGCAACTTTGCTTATTACATTGTACCAACATTGAACAACATTAAAGAAATGTGTTCAAGAAAGAAGTAAGCTTAGTATAAAGAAGAAATTTTACAATAATTCACATCTTTGGTTTACCTTTAAATTCTGAACACATAGTAACACAGCAAATAAATCAAAATAAAGCAATGATTGCACTAGGGAAATTCATGATGTCAACTCTTCTAGTAAATCTTCGGTAGACCGATTTTCTCGCTTGAAGCGCTCCATGTACAACTTTGGTACAGTCCACTCCAAAAGTATCTGAACATTCTTTAGAATGATTTCTCGTTCAGTCAAGCCATCTTGATCACATGGCACACGACCAGAGCTTACAATTGATGCACACAGAACTTTATCAATCAAAATTCTACCGAAACCTAAAGCTTCAAGTCGCCCTGTTGTTGAGATGCGGGTGAGCAGAATGGCCAGCAGCATTCGAATCTTCTCTAGCGGCATTGGCTGGTTTCTCGGCACCACTGGTGTCTTGGTGCCCATCTTCAGACGCTCTGTTACCTTCCGCATCATGTCCTCCACCATGCCAGATGTGGGTTGGTCCACAGATCTCAGGGGCTCGCAAATAGGGCTGCCACACCTATCATCTTTGATGACAGTGACATCCTCACAAACAGACCCCGACCGAGAAAGTGGTATGAGAGCTGGGATTTTGCTTTCACAGCTTGACCTTCTAGAAGATGAGGGCGAATTCATTAAAGCCATTGCTTGTACATCATTTACAGGGTTCACTTCAGGTGTCTTGGTCTTGGTCTTCACAGCATCTAACAAACTTCTTTTGCCTCGAGATCGGGTCTGCCGAGACATTATGGAAGAGGTAACTTTGGGAGTAATTTCTGTACCATTTGAAACCTCAAATTTCTTACCAGGAGTAGGGTCTTTGGCTTTTCCAACAGAAGTATTGGGTTTTAGACTGGTGCAAGTTGCAGTGGGCTTGTTTCTAGACTTCCCAATGGCAGCTTGGCTCTCTATATTTCTCTCATAAAACTGTTGGTGCTTGAAGGCACTAACAACTTTAGCTCCTTTAAGATTTGGTAGATCCTGGACGTCTTCCTCAGGAGCATCGTTCTCTCTCATTTCATGCTCACTGTCTTCATTCATCACAGCAAGATTAACATGGGCAGGTTCTATCTTTGCCTGCTTTTGTGGGATTGCATCTTCACTCTTTCCATTTGCCTTAGAAGACCTCTTTCTTGATTTTTTGGCCGGCTTATTCGTCTCTGAAGTTTTTTCTGTTGAAGTGGCTTCTGGAGCAGGAGGTGGGACACATCCTACAGCCTTCATATGCTCCTCAAGCTCTACTTTCTTCTTAAAGAAACTGTTGCAAGGAACACATACATACGGCTTGTCAGACTTGTGGATGCACCGCATGTGCTTCTTGAGGTGAGGAAGCTGCACAAATGCAGCTGGACAAAGCATACATTTCACAGGCTTTTCACCAGTGTGCCTTCTAATATGCATTCGTAAAGCAGAGGAATGAGAAAAGGCAACTTTGCAAATTTGGCAGGGGTAAGGCTTTGCTCCAGTGTGTGTTCTTGTGTGGACAACAAGTTGTGAGCTCTGCACAAAACGCATGCCACAAATGTCACATTTAAACGGCTTTTCTTTTAAGTGCATTCGCAAGTGGGACAAAATGTGCCCCTTAAACGACTTATTGCAGATGGAGCACCTGAATGCGCATTGGTCGTAATGAAGGCAAGCTAGATGTTTCCGGAGACCATCTCTCCTTGTGAAGCCCTTTCCACAGAGATCACATACGTAATCTTGTACACCTAAATGGCGTTTCATGTGCGTCTTTAAATTAGTTGAATTATAATAAGATGCTTTGCAAATTTCGCAGGTATAGGGACGCATGCCAACATGCCTTCGAAGATGTTGAAGAAGGCCACCATTACGTCGGAACTTCTTAGAACAAATATGACAAACATATGGCAATTCACCAGTATGAACGCGTAGATGAATACGCAGTCTCTCTTTGATGACAAATGATCGATCACAATGATGGCACTGATACATAATTTTATCTTTTTGATCGATCTGATCTCGGTGTTTACATAACATATGCGTCTTCAAACCTCCTTGCTGAGTGAATTTAGCATCACACTTATCACAAGCGTAGGGCCTCTCACCTGTGTGGATACGAACATGCCGTTTCAACATACTCTTACGAGTGAATGTGTATTCACAAAAAGCACACTGATAACCAACATCAGATTCTTTCTTTTCTTTTCCATCAGGACTAGCAACAATTTCATCCTCATCATCATCCTCTTCTTCATCATCATCTTCATCTCCATCTTCGTCTACATCATCCTCTTCTTTATCTGCTTCATCATCCAACTCGTCTTCTTCTTCCTCCTCCTCCTCCTCCTCCTCCTCCTCTTCATCCTCTTCATCATCCTCTTCGCCCTCTGCCTTGAAGCGAAGATTGACTTCAGATGCTTCAACATTGACCTTCTTCAATAAGGCCTCTAATTCTGCAGCTAGCTCAAGGTTTTCTTCCTTGACAATACTCCTTACGGGAGGTCTTGGTTTTGCTTGGGTTACGGCTTTGGCAGGCCCCTCATTTGAAGATACTTTGGTATTTTTAGTAGCTTCTTTGGCATTTTTACTATGCTTCTTGGTCTCTTTGGTATTTTCTTTGCTTTCCTCAGCGCCTCCTACCTGGACTGCTTTGGCCTTGGAACGAGCACTTGCACGAGTCATGGCGATTATGTTACAAGATTTACACACCCTTAACCAACAATTGGACTGTTAGAATTTTACATTCACCAATATTTGAATTCAAAAATGGTTTGAAAGGTTTACTTCTTTACTTTACACTAGTGGCACCAAAGGACTAGACTTTTCAGGACAGATGACTTAAAGTTTATAACACCATTATGCCAAAACTAAAAAGGACCACCAGAGTCCTTTGTACTAAGTTAGAAGACAAGATGAGAGAAGGAACCAGCACCAAAGGGAGATGACTTGTTGTTATGAAGAGATGCAGCTGACACCATGCTCCAATCAGCCGCAAGTGATGCAGCATCCATGCACCATCAAGTACTATGTCCGCAACTCCTCGAGTGAAATTCAACTCCTGTAATGCCACACGAAATCATCAGTTGATTGAGCATAGTACTCACAAAACAGCACATGGCTCTTTTCCTCATAATTTGTTCACTGAACAAAAATCTTAGGTAAAGTAATGTTGAAAATTCTACACAGGGAACAGCTTTTTTCCTTGCTGACCTATGAACAGTACACATAAATATATGAAAAATATATCCATCAATTTAAATTTGAAAAAAAAAAGTTACGGCACATAGTATTAAGGGCACCGTCACCTATAAAGTGTGTAAGAAAAATATATTAGTAATGAAAATTCTGTAACCAAAATTTAAATATATTTTGCATTTGAGAGAAGATTAAATTTGTTCTAAATGACCTGTCTGAAAGAATTCAGAAGTGAACAAACAAAGTGAATGAATGATTTAGTATTGTGAAAGTATGGTTACTAATAATAAAATGACTGAAATACAATCACCCTTCCACCTTAATCAGACAGATGCATGCCAAGTGAGTCATTAAGGTATATTTGGTTCGGAGAGGGAACCTCCCCTCTTCTCTAAGAAACCTACCAGACACATGCATTAATTTTATTTTTTTTACTCTTTGTGTAGATGTAGTATTCATCAGGCATTCAAGTCTCCTTTGAAGTAAGCCACTTACAACAAACCCATGGTAAAAGCAAAAGAAGCTTAGTACCTGATGGTTTGGTGCCTGATGGTTTAGTGCCTGCCTCAAGAGAAGAAAGTAAAGGACAGTCATAAGGAAGAGAAAATGTCTTAATTATTAAGACTACAGACTCAGGAGAAAAAAAAAGTTTGTGAACTGAGAAGACTTGGATGCATATCCTAGGTTCTGAGGGGAGACTTGAATGCAATACAAAGAAATACAGAGTTGCAAAAAGTATTTCAAATCAGAAGATGCTAAAATGACAGTATCAGAACTATTTGGAAACAATAAACGACACAAGGTGTTCCTGACGAATCTAAATAAGAAGTGTTAATAATAAAATTAAAGTCAATACTACTAGTTTACAACCCAACACCAAATAATAATTCCCTTATATACATAAAGGAATCCAACACCAGCCATGCTGCAATGAAGAGTTCTCCATCTAACCCACCACAACCATTGAAAATAAATGAAAAATAATAAAAACTTTAAGAACTGAGCATTTGTACTCAATTCAGTTCTCACCAAACTCCTCATAATGAATGCTTCACAAACAACGAGCTGAGGTGAGCTGCAATGGAACAAGAAAAGCAAAACTGTTCATTTAAAAGCATTTCTATGAAATACCAAATACCATTATTAAGGTGCATTAACGCTCATTCATTTCTAGGTGGTTTAGCTTAGTGGGTCGGATCAGGTCGCAAGAGAAGCAGACAATGGCTCATGATTGACCCACGGGCAATTTTAGCTGCATTGATCCAGTCCTTGCTACACCACTAAGTTATCATCAAGCCTAAATGCATCTTCAGGGCAAAAATGTCAGAAAAACATAAAATGTCATCAGATTGAAGCTAAATGCATCTTTTTAAAACTTGAAAACAAAATATAATGTTTTAAGAATGATAGTTACGATGTACAACTCCAAACAGTGGAATTCTCTCTCAATGCTGCCCTGACCGCATTATTTGAAAATACTCTCAGTCAACTTAAAGTTTATAATACAGCATCAGGCAACATAAGCCAGTTCAGCTCATTAGAAAATTAGAGAGAAAAATCCAAATAAACATTGACCTCAGACGAGAAAACAACAACAACAATGGAGAATATCCCAACTAAACTGCTAGCTGAAATCTCATCAACTGTGAAAGGTTAACATTAGGCCGTATCTGCACCTGGTTCGCACTAAACCCGAGAAGCCCTGAAAACGTTTGGTTGAGGTGGAAAATAGACGAGACGAACATTGACCAAAAGCCTCAGCTGCAGACTGCAGTGCGAATGCAGATGACGCCGAAAACTCTCGTATCATGTCACTTCCAGTTTGTCTGTTCCTGATGAGAGAAACAGTTCCATTGGCAAACGAGACTAGGACCTTTACCTCTAGCTCAGGAAATTGAATGACGAAAACAATGCAACACGTATAAAATATTTACGAAATAACAGCGGCGACAGCCACTGCCCATTTATGTAATGTGCTTGGATAGAGTATTGATTTGATTACGATCATTCTCGTCTGCAATGGACACAAAAACACAGATTTCCCTTGTAACCTACACTCAAGTGCACAAGAAATAGGAGCGAAGATTACCTGATGGGTAGCAGATGCTAGATCTTGAACAAGTCTTCTGCCAGTTTGTCAAAAACAGGCCACAAAATTAAAATTTTGTGGCAGTTTCGTGGCAGACGCTGCTAGACGCCATTTTGGACGATTCTCCACTTGTCATCCTTCTGCTACAAGCCGTGTTGTTTTTCAACGTGGAGTTATTGGAGACATCCTTAAATTGGGGAAAGGAAATTAATGAAAACAGCTTGAGCAAAATTGAAAGGCCTGATTATGGGAAAGCAGTTTCTTGCACTCACTGTTGTTTCAAAACGAATCTGTTTGCTAATGCCGTGTGGGTGGGTGTGGTGGGCGTGCACTATCTGCAGGACGCAACCGGAAGCGAAGTGGGGGTCGTGGGGAATCTAAAATGACAAGCGCACGCTTCAGATTGATATTGCAATTGATGCGGGTGGGTGTTGTGAACCTGATGAGTGGATCATGAATGAATGAATGAACGAACGAATGAACTGCCAAGCAACAGCAAGTTAAAGCTTATCACAACATAACCTTCTGTGGTCCGGAGTCCTCGACAGCACTGTACGACGGCCTCGTCTCTGGCACTTGATTGCAATTTAAATTTTGGCATTTATTCAACGAATCTTTCTCGTTTTCAGAAGCGGCGACCGAAAGGAGTTTGAGACCGCACTGCAAGATGAGCTTCGTCGGCAAGGTGGTGTTGATCACGGGGGCCAGCTCCGGCATCGGCGCGGCCACCGCGGTGCACCTGGCGCGCCTGGGCGCCAGCCTCGCGCTGACCGGCCGCAACGGCCAGAACCTGCAGGAGGTGGCGAACAGGTGCGAGCAGGTGCAGACCGGCAACAAGGTGAAGCCGCACATCATCACCGGGGAGCTCACCAGCGAGGCGGACACCAAGAAGATCCTGGACTCGACCATCGAACACTTCAAGCAGCTGGACGTCCTGGTCAACAACGCTGGCATCATTGGGGTGGGCAGCATCGAGAACACCAGCTTGGCCCAGTACGACCAGATGTTCAACACTAATGTGCGCTCCGTATACCACTTATCCATGTTGGCAGTGCCTCACTTGGTCAAAACGAAGGGCAACATCGTCAATGTATCTAGTGTGAATGGACTGAGGGCGTTCTCTGGAGTCCTTGCCTACTGTATGTCGAAATCTGCTATTGATCAATTTACACGATGTGTGGCTCTAGAACTTGCACCGAAGGGAGTACGGGTGAACAGTGTCAACCCTGGTGTTGTTGTCACTGAATTGCAGAAGAGAGGAGGCTTAGATGCGGAAGCTTATGCTAAATTTTTGGAGCGTTCTAAGGAAACACATGCTCTTGGGCGACCTGGTCAACCCGAAGAAGTAGCTGCCACCATTGCGTTTTTGGCAAGCCCAGAAGCAAGCTTCATTACAGGAGCAAGCTTGCCTGTTGATGGGGGACGCCATGCTATGTGCCCTCGCTAATCTAATGTCATGATTCGTGCATAATGGTTTTAATGAAATGTAGTCCTCAACATTATGCCACATTTCATTCTTTATAATATTTTTATTGTGATTTTCTACGTGGCCATATGATATACATTTTTCTTTTTCAGAAGTGTATTGCTCAATTGTTCAACATGATGTAAATTTGAATGACATGTAATCCCTATGAGAGCTTCACCCTCATATTGCAGGGCAGAACATGAACATGATAGGCTGGACTACCAGGAATGATCCAGGTGCCTATGTCTTTGCTTGTTGGTTTTACTCTCATTGCTGTACTTAACTTTATTTCTTTCTTAGAACAGTGTTATTTTAAGTACAAATTTTAGCTTGTAATGTCATGTGAAAATGGTTTGGAAGCTTTCTATATTTTTGTTAATGAAATATATTTAGTCAATAATACATTGGTACGTATTTATTTTCCTTCAAGGACAGTTCCAAGAGTTTAAGATATCTACATTTATACACAAATGCTTTTCCTTCTACACTGCAAGTCCAGAATATAGAGGAAGTCATATTGAAAGCTTGAATCACAGCCTTTCCTGTCGCACTTACAATCATCAGGTTTAAAAGTTATGCCAAATATTCCATGCTATAGTCAATAAATTTTATTACTGGTGGGTTGATAAGCTGTGTGTCCTTTCCTTGACAATTTTTGTGACTTGACGTTACAGAAAGCAAAGAGCTGACTGAAGATAATACAATCTGCAATAGAGCATTCATTTTTCACACTTGCTAAGCTCTAGTATTGATAAAATTGAAAGGAGACTCTGAAATGAAACTGATGAGTTGATCATATGTGCTTTAACAGTTCTCATTCATCATCCTCTTCATCCAAAAGATGCCCCAAACTGATTTCCTTCTGCTTGTGACCTTTGCCTTTGTCCTCTGCTTGACTGACACCAGTGCGTGACTTCTTTTTTGATGTTGTCTTCTGACCGACGACGTATTCTGGCATCACCAATTTGCTACTGCGGAAAGAGGGACGATCACCCTCCTCTGATGTCGCAGAAGTTGATACTGTGCTCACGGCACCTAAGCTTGAAGTGAGTCTCTCAGTCTTGGGCCGCACAGGCTTGAACACAATTGGTTTTGTTGGAGACGGCTCATCGACATCCATGTCACTGCTGTTGTCCTTCCTGGCCTTGAGTTCCTGCAGGAATGAGAGTGCTGCTGCAGTATTGCTACGGTCTGACATGTCCTGAGATGACACGTCCCCCAGGCTGTATTTTGTCCACTTGTGAGGATTGCGTTGATGGTCTGCGAGGCTGTTCCGAGCACGCCTGGGAGCTGGCATCTCTGGCCGCTTGAATATGCTCTCCTTGCCCCTGAACTGTTTGGTAGGGGCTTCCCGTCTCCTGCCTTGCTCTACCGGGCTCCTGGGCCTCTGCCTGGGCCTGTCGTCCTCATCCTCGTGCGGGTGCAGCAGGGGCTGCTTGGGGGTGGCCTCCCGCTCCTTGTCCGCAGCGTCCAGACACGCGAACAGGTCCCGCTGACGATGCGCGAAGGCCGACCCCAGGCCGGACAGCGTGAACGAGGGGCTGTTTTCTGCCGCCATGTCGAAGCGAACTAAGTTGCAATCTCAACAACTGTACTTGAAGTAATCTTCTTGTTTACTTGCCGTGAACGTCAACCATAACAACCGCCATCTTGGCTCAGACGACAAACCACAGCCTTTGTCGAGAAACGTTCTGCAGTGACGCGCACAGCAGACGACCACGACGTGCTGCCCTAGCAGAAGACGTATTCAGCTGTTTCCTCTCAACAGGGGGTGTAGCTCAGATGGTAGAGCGCTCGCTTAGCATGCGAGAAGTACGGGGATCGATACCCCGCACCTCCACTTTTTTCGGCCAGTTTTATAGTCAGTGTGCCCCCATGCTTGTTCATTTGACACATGCCCATTTCATTCGCGCCGAAAACAGACGTCAGAAAGGAAACATCACTTTAAAAAAAAGACTGAAAATTGAAAAAAAAATTTACTAGAGTGCACGTTTGTAAATTTGTTTCATTCAGTCATTGAGCCGAGCTGTAACGCACTGTAACGTTAGCACCCTGTCATGTTTACCGTTATCGCCGTTCAAATTTTTTGCCCCTCTCTAAATGCTCATGACAGAGAGTATACAGTGCACTTTTAATAATTGACTTAACACTCCGTTCAATCCCCTTTTTACTTTAATTGTATGGTTTGGTTTCACGTTTTTCAACGTGTACGGAAGTGGCGGTGAAGTTTGAACACTCAAGGGTTGGCGAACCTGGAAGCCATTTTCGAGCGCATCGGAATCGGAACAGATCGTCACGTTCACGTTACCGCCAGGAAATCGTCGCGTCTCATTGTGTCGCTTTGCTTTCGAACATCCAGAGATATAAACCTTCAAGTCTTCGATCGCCGGTCGTGTCTCCAGGTGAGTGTTGAGTGACAGTGTTTTCGTGCCTTGACGCGTAATTCGCTTTCGGTTTGATGGGGCTCTGCTCGCCGTGCTGTCCAAACCTGTGCGCGCGTTCGGCCGGTCCGGCTCGGCTGTGATGGCTTCCCGCCGCTCCGCCGCCAAGTCACAACCGTTTTGAATTCAATGAAAACACGTACAATTTTCGGCGCACTGAACCGAAAAATGACTCCAGAGCGATTTCGATAAAGGCGGCATTTTCTCATGTGCCCGGTTAATGTAATTTCTGATCCAATCCGTCGAAATCATTTGGCGGGACGTGTCCCAAAAATGCCGACGGACGGACGTCAGTGGCAAACGAACCGACCGGCGTTTCTCGCGTCTCTAACGAAACTCTAAGAATGCCACCGAGACTGCGGCCTATTGTTTGGGTCGCTTTTCTTCATCACCACACCACACTGTAAAACCTAGTGTGCGGTGGCGCAGTCCACCCGTGGACGTGTGGACTTTGCAGTCTCCACTTTCTGAAGGGTGGAGACTGATTCCGAGAGTCATTTTCGTCGCTCTGTCTCTCTCGCACCTGTACAGGACGCCCCATGAGTGAGAGAGAGACAGAGCGACGAAAACGACTCTCGGAGTCTCGTCATGGTGCAAACGAGGAGTCCGCACTTGAACTGTTGCACTTGCAAGTGGTGAGACTGTGATTTTCACAGTGCACCCCCGCTGTAATCAAACCGGCCGCTTGACTGCTCCAGCGATGCCGCCGACTCCAGGCCGGCGCGCCGACCGGCAGGACAGGCGGCAGGACAGGCGGCGCGAGCTGCTGGACGCCGTGGAGAGGGAGGAGCGCATCACGCGGTTCCTCTACGGACACATGCTGCAGCCCGACCAGATCCGCGGCAAGACCCTCCAGAGGCTCCGGATCCCGACCAAACCCAGCGGCCAGATCGACTGGGCTGCAGTGGGGTAATCAGCGCGTAGCGGCGCGCAGTGGATGAAGACCGGCGGAGGCGGACAAAATTCTAGACGCGTTTTATGAGCCCCAGAGTCGCTTAACAGGACTCTAACGGAACGTGCGAAGCGCCCCCCCCCTTTCCTCCCCCGCAATGGATTGCTCGTTCGGAGAGTACTGTAATTCATTGGTTGGTTCACACGTTCGGTCCGAGTCCTGTTTTGCGACCCTGGAGCTTCCACCTTCGCTGGTCTTCTGGCCCACTGTGCGGCGAGCGCAGGGCTTTTTTTTTGGGGGGGGGGATGTCGAGTTGTCAGCGGATTCCGAGAGTCGTTTTGGTCGCTCTGTTTCCCTCGCACACACACAGCGCCGAAAACGACTGTCGGAATCAGCCTGCAGGGCCGTGCAGGCCTGGCGGGGAAGGGGGTTGAATTGGCGGCTGTACACTGATATCGAGAGTCGTTTCTGCCGCTCTGTCTCGCACTCATGGGGCGCCCCGTTTAGGTGCGAGAGAGACAGAACGACGAAAGCGACTCTTGAAATCAGCCAGCTGCTGTAATGCCAACCTTCCAGCCCCTCTTTACCACACGGGCGCGCGCGCTTTTGGTTCATGTCACAGTATGGATTTCACGGTACGGGTGGAGCCTCCACCCGAGCCCCGCTACGATCCGTCCAAGAAGTTCTTCAAGACCAGGCCGCCCCTCCCCCGCCCCCTCCCGGACGGGTCACGCCGCCCGCAGGACTTGGAGCAGAGGATCCGCGCCGTGCACGGGACGGTGTCGGTGGCGATCACCGCGGGACCGCACGGACCGCGGACCACGCCGAGGAGCAGGCCTAGCAGGCCCAGGAGCACCAGTGGACGCCGGGAGCCGCCCCAGGTGGGTAGCCTCCTCAATGCCCAGTGGGCCAGAAGACCAGTGGAGGCGGCCAAAACTCTAGACGCGTTTTGAGCTCCAGAGTCGCTAAACAGGACTCGAACCGAGCATATGACCCCACCAATGGATTCCTCGTTCGGAGAGCAGTGCTTTGGTGGGGGTCACACGTTCTGTTCGAGTTTCATCAAGCGACTATGGTGCTCAAAACGCGTCCGGGATTTTGACTGCCTCCACCGGTTCTCTTGCCCACTTGTCACTCAACGCCCCGAGAACGCTCTAAGTTGAACTTGTCTCGCTCGCTCCAGGCTTTGCCAATGGCGGATCCAGTGGCGGCCTCAAAGAGGGTCGGAACAAAGTAGCACTTTTTGCCTACTTACAGGGGCAACATATGGCATTTTGCCTACCTTTCTGCCTACCACTTCTGTATCCGTGCCTGGGCCTTGCCATTGTTACGTCTCCTAAGGGATTGCATGAGCAGTCGACTCTCCATCTTCGGAGCGAATCAATGCCACCGCTGTTGGTGAAGTGGTGGTGGCAACAGTAGTGGCAGCAAAGTCTTTTGCTACCCACCGTGGCCACAGTGGTAGCTTGCCCTTGTACCCCGATGAACAGCTGGTGCCTTTTTTGCCGACAGGTTTCGCCTCGTCGATCGTCCAGCGCGGGCAGGAACGGGTGCCCCCGGGAGCGCGGCGAGCGCAGCCCGGTGCCCGGCCGCACGCCATCGCGCACGCCAGCACGGACGCCGGCCCGCCCCGCGCCCCCCGCCCGTCCCGCCCGGAGCACTGCGGTCCCTGCGGTCCCCGAGGCGCGGCCCAAGCGCAAGCTGTTCCGGGTCAGCTCCGGGGACAACCCGGATAGCCCCACGACGGCCACCGTCCTCCTGACGCCCAGCCCCGCGCCCGCCTCGCTGCCGCACCCCGCGACCACGGACGACGAGCACAGCGTCTTCGAGCCGCTCAGCAGCCCGGAGGACATCAACAAGCCACGCACCAAGCCCGTGTCCCTGGGCATGCTGGGGCAGGGCCTGGCCAGCCGCTCCGCCGAGGCTGCCAAGCGCCACGAGGCGCAGGCCCAAGCGCAAGGCCGAGCAGCTGAGACAAGGCTACTGGCCCCAAGCCGACCGTCCCCGGCCCAGCCACCGGCGCCACCAAGCGCTGGCACGACTCCCCAGCCACCGGACCACGGCACCAGCCGTCGGGAACGACCCAAGCCGACGGTGGGCACGACATCCACCAAGCCGACCGTGGCCACCACGGCCACCAAGCCGACTCTGGGAACGCAAGGCCATAGGCGCAGCCAAGGCCGGGAGCGGCTGGGCACGACATCCACCAAGCCGACCGTGGCCACCACGGCCACCAAGCCGACTCTGGGAACGACCTTCACCAAGCCGACGGTGGGCACGACATCCACCAAGCCGACCGTGGCCACCACGGCCACCAAGCCGACTCTGGGAACGACCTTCACCAAGCCGACGGTGGGCACGACATCCACCAAGCCGACCGTGGCCACCACGGCCACCAAGCCGACTCTGGGAACGACCTTCACCAAGCCGACGGTGGGCACGACATCCACCAAGCCGACCGTGGCCGCGAGCCCCAGCAGGCCGGTCCAGGACTTGACCTTCAGCAAGGCGCCCATGCCGCCTCCAACCACCCCACGAATCCTGGCGCCCAGTCCTGTGCGCAGCCCAGTGTCCAGCTTGGCGTTCAGCCCAGTGCCAGCTTCTGTGCTCAGCCCAGTCTCCAGTGCGACGCGCAGCTCAGCGCCAGGTTCTGTGCGCAGCCCAGAGCCTACTCTCATCATAGACCCGACTCCGGAGTGCAGCCCCGCACCAAGTCAGGTGCGGAGTCCGGCTTGGGACCCTCCCTCCAGTCCGTGCTACAGCCCACCGCCTAGTCCATGGAACAACCTTGAACCGCTTGCTCGGCGCAGCCCTACCCCGATGGAGGACTCGGCCGGCGTCCCCGACGCCGTGCAGCACAGTTCGCCCGCCCCAAGCCTTGAGGCGGACATGGCCCAGCCCGCGCCGCAGGGCCCGTCTCGCAGTTCGCCCGGCCCGAGCCCCAAGATGGACATGGCCCAGCCCGCGCCACAGGGCCGCCAAATCCTCTCCCCCTTCCGGATGACCTCGGACCTGGTCGACTTCATGGTAGGTGCTCCCATCGTGGCGGCGGAGCGACCGCAGCCCAAACGGAAGTCTCTGTCACTGAAGAAGGGCGCCGCGGCCTCCCCCATGCAGGCCAAGCGCGTCTGCCAGTCGCCCGGCGGCCTGCCGCTGGTCCCAGCCCCCAGGGCCGCGACCGCTGTGACGGCGGCCTCCACGTCGGCCCCTGAGGCCCACCCAGCTGTCGCCTCCCAGGTGCAGAGGCGGTCCACGCCGGTGTCGTCTGACACGGACCACATCCACTCCGCGAACACCATCATCCTGACGCAGCGCGCCCCGGTCAAGCAGCCCCTCGCCAAGAAGGACTCGACCGAGAGCGATGGCTCCGACGACATCATCCCGTCGTCACAGCCCTCTCCCTCTCGCGTCCCGCCCAAGCTACCCGCGGAGGAGGCCACCTCCCCTGTCCTGTCTGCAGGCAGCGGCAAGCGCACCCTGCGCAAGGCCCGGTGCTGGACTTCGCCGCCACCGGGGTCCACGTCGCCCGGCGCCAACCTCCAGGACGGCGCTGCCCTGACGGACACCCAGTCCTCGTCGCCCATCCCCGCGACGCAGTGGCGCCCCAGTCAGGCGCCGTCGACGCGCGCCTCGGGTGCCGGGGACTCCTCGTCGTCTTCGTCGGGGGCTCCTGGTCCCCAGCCACCGCCGACCTCGGCTAGAAAGCAGCGGCCTGCGCACCGACCCGTGGCGGCAGCCAACCAGGACGACTCTGGGCTGTCGGCGTCCCCGGCCTCGGTGCACCTGGAGCAGCCAGAGTCTTCGGACACTGACGGCGACGTGATCATGCCGTCGCAGCCTCCCTCTCCCCTGCGGCCCAAGCCGGCCAAGCTGCACGACGTGGCGAGCTCGCCGCCCAACAGGAGTCCCACCATCTCGAGCGGGGAGCGCGAGTCGAGCAAGCGGCGCAGCGGCAGCGGCAGCGCCATGTCGCAGAGCCAGGCCTCCGCGCTCTCCTCGGCCTCCAGGCGCCTCTTCCTCACGTCCGCCACGGCCGCGGCCAACGTGGTGGGCCGCCGCGGGCCGCGCTCCGTGGGCAGCGCCGTGTCCTTCACCACCGCGGACAGCCCCGCCAGGGCCGACGACGCCGAGGCAGGCCAGGCAGGCACTCCCCCGCACGGCGGCCAGGGACCAGCGGCCGCAGGGACCAGCTTGAGCCGGTCAAGGGGCGGCAGCGCCCAGGGCAGCCCTTCGGGCAGCGACAGCGAAGACGACCGCATGACGGAGTTCCTAGGTTCACCGCGCCACCGGGAACCCAACACCCCCGTGTCCATGAGCAAGTCCTTGAGCGTGGCCAGCAGCTCAGTGTCCAGGCCAGTGCCCATTGGTGACTTCGGCGACCTGTTCGAAGAGGACAACCATCACGTGTCCGTGCGCGCCGCCGCCGAGAAGGCCCTGCGGGCGGAGAGGAAGGCCTGGGTGGACCTGGATGCCAGCGCCACCAGGGCGGCGTCGTCGCTCGGCAGCTCGGCAGCCACCACGTCGCGCCGCCGCACCCAGGCCAAGGTGGAGGCCGAGCGCCAGGCCATCAAGTCCGACAGCGACAGCGGGGAGACGCAGCTGGCACGCGAGGAGGCGCGCCGCAGCCGCAGAGAGAGCCGCCGCAGCTCGCGGGCCTCGTCCACCGACGCCGTGCTGCTCAAGAACGCCAGGGACTCTGCGGCCAGCACCAGCCGGGCCGCGGTGCCGGCCACGGCCACGCTGCTGGATCCTTCCCTCAACTCGGACGACGGGCGCCGCCGCCGCACCAGCATCTCCGAGACGCACGCCGTGGTGCGGCACGTCGCCGCCACCCCGCGCATCCCCTTGCCGCCGCGGACCGAGGACACGGACAGCTCGGAGAGGGCGCGGTCCGCGCGGCTGCGGGGGGACGGCGCGTCCAGGCCGTCCACCTCTTCCAGCGACGAGCCGCGGCCGGCCGACGCGGCGGTGCTGCACGCGCCCGGCCAACCCCGTGCGCTGCCCTTGCCGCCGCAGGGCGCCGAGGACACGGACAGCTCGGCGAGGGCGCGGCCACAGGCAGACGGCGCGTCCAGGCCGTCGTCCAGGGACTCCGCCGCCGGTGAACAGCAGCGGATGGCCGACGCGGTGCCGAGGGGTGCTCCGCTGCGAAGAGCACCCAAGTTCAGCATCGGTGCCATATGGGACTTCGCTGCCGGCTTCGTCCAACGAGGCAGTCAAGACCGTCAAGACAGTGGCAGCCGCTCCCAACAAGGGCCCCCTCAACCTGGCGGCACCCCTACATTCTCAGTTCAAGGGAGAAATCATGGCTGTGGTGCCTCTCAGGAATTTATAAGTGGCACCCCTTCGCAGAGAGTCAGTAGTGGCACCCCTACGCAGAGAGTCAGTGGTGGCACCGTCAGTGGTGGCACCCCTACATCCTCAGCGCAAGGAAGAGCTCCTGGCAAAGGCGACACTCCTATGCGCCCAGGCTTTGGCATCGACACCGAACGACTCAGCAGCACTCAGCACGTCATCAGCGGCACCCCTACTCAAGAAGTCAGAAGCAGCGCGTCTGGACAGTCGAGCAGTGCGAGTGTTCAGGGCGGCGCCCCCGGCCATCCAGGCAAACCTGTGGGCAAACGGGCCGCCCTGAAAGTGAGCGTTAGCGACGCGCTTGTCCACCGTGCCAATGCAGCCGCCCGAGACGAGTGCCGCAGCCCTGCTCGCCCCAGCGTTGTTGGACGCCCCGGCACTCCCGGCCGGACTGGAACTTCCGGTCGCCCCGGCACTCCCGGACGAGCTGGAACTTCTGGACGCCCCAGCACTCCCGGCCGGGCTGGAACTTTTGGACGCCCCGGCACTCCCGGACGGGCTGGAACTTTTGGACACCCCGGCACTCCCGGACGGGCTGGAACTTCCGGACGGCCCGGCACTCCCGGACGGGCTGGAACTTCCGGACGGCCCGGCACTCCCGGACGCGCCGGCTTGCCAGGACGCTCCAGCACTCCAAGACGCCCCCACGCCAGCAGCACGTCTTCCAGCAGCAACGCGCCGCCGCACGGGCCGAGCGCAAGCGCGCACATGGTGACGCCAGACCCCGAGGACGTCGACGACGTACTCGACGACTTCTCCTACGACGACGACATGGAGCTGCTGTCTGAGGCCGAGAACCCGAGCGAGGAGGACGAGACCCCCGACCAGCTGGTCAACACTCCCGGCCTCGCCCCGCTGGCGCCCCTCCGGCCCACCACCAAGGCCAGGCCCAGCGCGCCCGGCGCAGGGACCGCCGGGGCCGACAGGACGGCGCGACCCCAGAGCGTGGACACGCCGCACCGGCCCGGGCCGCCGCCCATCAACAAGCGCAAGATCAGCTACACGGGACTGCTCAGCCCGCCCCCGCCGCCCACTAGCAGGCCCAGGCTGCTCAGCCCGCCTCCGCTGCCCCTGACGCCGGCGCGCTCGGCCGCCGCCGCCCGCCCCCAAGCTGCATTCACCCCTCCCGTCGGCGTGGTCAGCGGGTCGCAGACCACCTTCTTGTCCAGCTACGGGGTGAGTCCGCGCAACACCGTGAAAGCAAGTGTGGACAACTCCACGCTTGAAATGCGGAGCAGTGGAATTTGCAGTCTCCGCTCTTGGAAGTGCAGTGTTTGCTGTGTCCACATCCACACTTTAAGTGTGGGGTTGTCCACGTTTGAAGGGGCCCTGTGAGCTACTCCACACTTGAGGTGTGCAGACTGCCAACTCCACACGTCCAAGTGTGGGGAACATACTCCGCTCCAGGAAGCGTGGAGTTCCCCACGCTTGGTTTTTGACAGTGGACTGGCTTTTAGTGCGATGCAGGCTCCGCTGCTTCTCTTCGCTGCATATGCCGAGTGCGAGAGGGGGGGAACCCGGGGAAAATGGCCCCCCTCCCCCTTTGGGGCGAGCGGACCAGGGCCCCCCAGTTGTCCGGTGGCTAGTGTTTTGGACCCACTCACCTGGGTTGTGTTTTGGGGGTCCAGAGCGGCCCAAAGGGGGGAAATATCTTGCTTTTTCCCTAGGAAATTCAAATTGGGGGTTTTTGATCTATTTCGTGCCCGGCTATCTAGGAGTTGCATGGGGGGGGGCCTCCCACTGGCTCCCCCGTGGATCCGCGCTTGGGTCGGTGTCTTGAAGCAACTCGGACTCGGTTTGATACGGAGGCCTAGTCGGCCTTGGGTGCTCCGGGTAAAAGCAAAGCGTTAGTGTTTCAAGTCATTCCTGAGTCAAGCGCAAAGTTACGCGTAGCGTAGAGAAGACATTCCCCCGTGCGCCTGTTACGCTTGAACAGAGGGTAATACCCTTTAGTTTTAGTACCTCTATTTGTTTTCCCGCCGGCGCAGCTTGATTTTTCCGGAATTATTCTTACCGTGGCTGTTAAGAATTTCCGAGTTTACCGCGGCTTTTAGTATGCATGTGCTGCATTGCCTATGATGCCTACATTGCTCGTATTGCCTGTATTTCCAACATTGGCTTGCATTGCCTGCCCGCAGGACGGTGACGTCACCCTGACCAACTCGACGCGCAGCACGCGCAGCCACGTGAGCGTCGGCATTGAAGTGATTCAGGTCCAGGGCAGCCGCTTCCCCCGGCCCAGCAGCCGGCCCCCGACGCCCAAGGAACCCAAGGAACCCAAGGACTCTAAAGTAGGTGCAGTGACGGTGTGGGGGGGACTAGCCCTTGCAGGGCACGGTGGGCGAGAAGACGGGTGGAGGCGGCCAAAATTCTAGACGCGCTTTGAGCTCCAGGGTCGTTGAATAGGACTCGAACCGAACGTGTGACCCCCACCGATGGACTCCTGTTCGGAGAGCAATCCATTGGTCACACGATCGATTCGAGTCCCATTTAGCGGCTCTATAGAGCTATAAAAGCGTATAGAAGTTCGGCCGCCTCCACCGGTCTCCTGGCCCACTGTGCAGGGGCGAACGGGCGAACTACGGCCTTTTGTCTACCTTTCTATCTACGTAAACCAGGTGACGTTTGGGGGAGGGGGAGGGGGCGGTTGAGGTGGGGCAAAAAATCCTCCCCCCTCTGCATCCTCGCTCAGGTGGAGTAGGGGCCCCCCCTACAGTTCACTTACAGTGGGGGGATGGCAGTCGGGGGTATCAGAGCCCTTGATTGGCCGCCGGGCTCGACCAATCAGAGCGCTACAGTTTTTGTCTTTGTTGTTGCAGGAATCTGACAGCGACAGCGACCGGCTCACGGACCTTTACAGCCCGGAGGCGGAGGGGTAGCTATCAGTGCATCCCTTTCCTTGCTGACCTTGCACAGGATGTGACGTTTCATTTGTCTGTTGCAAGCACACTGTGCATTTTTTTAAGTCAATGCTTGACAATGAGTTTTGTTTATAGTCTTTTCTTCCCACATGAGATGTATTTTTTTAAGAAGAGAATGCGATTATTCTTCAACCCCAAGCGTTTTCTCTATGATATAATTTTTTTTGACTAGTCACTTAATTAAAGATTAAGTCTGTGCCAGTGTCTATCAATAAGCCAAACAATTCTAGGACATAATTATTTAAACAAGGCGTAGCCCTGTTGTGGTGTTTTCTGTTTCAATATGACACAAAATGATTTTCTAAACAAGGCCTAGCCGAGTGTCTGCAGTCTCCATATGACATGTCATTATGTAGAATATAACTACCCAATCAACCCTGAGACCTGTTTCTGTGATATTTTGTCAATGAAACATGTATTTTAAGAATAACTCCCTTAGCTGAGTGTTTTCAGTCTCAATGTACCATATTTTTTTAAATGATTTAATTAGTTAGTGAACCCTTATACCCTTTTCTGTGATTTCTGTGATTCTCAGTGTGTCATATTTTTAGAATAATTTTCCGAACAAGGCTTAGCCCAGAGTTTTAGTCTTCAGTGTGCCATATGCCATATATTTTTAGGATTTAAGTCCTTAGACCCGCTTCTGTGATTTTCGTCTTAATGTGAAATACTTTTTCAGAATATAATTTATTAATCAACCATTAGGTCCATTCCCGCGTTGTTCTTTCTGGTGCCATCCCCGCCCACCATTCCTACTCCTCTCGGGAAGAGCCCACCTCGCAACATCGGGGGTCGCGTCGGGGCAGACACGGGCATCCGTGAGTCTTTTTGTCGCTCTGTTTCTCTCGCACCTGCACGGGACGCCCCGTGAGTGCGAGGAGGGATACAGAGCCGCTAAAACGACTCTCGGAGTCAGTCTGCTGCCGAGTGATTGGAAAGGGTCGCTTCGTTGCTCTGTCCCTGTCGCACTCGTGGGGCTCTCCGTCAGGGTGCGATAGAGAGAGAGAGAGAGTTTAATTTTTAAAATGATTTATTGGGGGGATTTTTTTTCACAATTAGGGCCGGGACATGAGTAAAATTTATTGTCACAAATTGTGCATGCAGTGTTCTTCTTTTTTTTTAGTTTTTATGTTATGCTGCAGTGTTTACGAGAGAGAGAGAGCGAGCGACATCTGAATCGCTCGCCTGCTGGAGCGCAGCGGCGCGCGGCCTCGACGTCAAAACAATCCTCGTCCACCCTCCGCCGTCCTGAGAGAGAGAGAGAGAGAGAGGAGAGAGGAGAGAGAGAGGAGGAGGAGAGAGAGGAGGCCGAGAGAGAGAAGTGCCAGGGCCCCGTCTGGCCGCCTCCAGCCCTGGTCCCCGGTGCGGCGCGTGAGCCCGTCGCGCCGCGCGGGCTGCGGTCACCCGGCCGGGCCGCGCCGTTATCGAACACGCGAGGTAGCGGCGGGGCTTGGGCGGCCCGGGCCGATGGCGGCCGATGGCGGTGGGGTCTAGTCCGAGCGAGGCAGAGCGCGGCGCGGGAGGCTCGGCGCCGCTCGGCGCTGCGGGGTGCGCGTGCGCGGCGGTGCGCCTCTAGTGTGTGGGGGTGGGGTGGGCGGCCTGCGCCACCCTCGACTCCTCGGCCTGTGGCGCCGCGGCCGTCGCGGCCCCGCGTAGACAGGGCAGTGCTGCCGCGACGCGCCCCACCGCACCACCTCGCCGCCGCCCTGCCGCGCGCGCTCCGACGACAACAACAACACCGCCAGCAGCAGCAGGACGAGCAGGAAGCCTGCAGGACACTGGCAGGACGCCCAGCCGCCACCAGCAGGACAGGTATGTGCACCCCGTCACCGTCCTGCAGGGCGTCCGCCCCACGCAGGGCGCGATTGTCCTGTGGGACACTGTGGGACAGCCGCGCGGTAGCAGCCCCCCCCCCTTTTGCCCCCGCCTGCCGGGGGTCCTGTCAGCAGCACCCCGCTGCAACCTGCGCCCTGCAGC